GATGCCAGTCATTAGTGAGCATATGTTGATTATTATTAGAAGAAGGTTTTGTGGAGATTGTACTAATTTCAATAGTTGAAATGATGAGTCATGAATATACCTACAAGTCAGTCTCATTCTTTTATGTAATATCACATAGACAAAAGTTTATTTTGTTAACATTATTATTATTTCTTTTTGTTCATACAGGAAACCTTATCGAATTTGTTGGCATGGTTACTTAATTTTATTTTGTTATATATGGTAACCGGTAATCAATTGTAAGTGAATCTTATCCATTTACTTTTGTCATCTATTTATTGAATATTAATATAAATGATTGTGAATTTTCACTGGTTGAAATCATGAGTCAATTGAAGCTAGACCACCATGGAAAACCTGGAAGCACTGGACGGCTGTTTCGTCCTAGTATGGGACTCCTCAGCAGTGATCTGTTTGGTTAAGCGCCTGGTGCGCGAGACCGATAGGTTCAGGGTTGGAATCTCGCGAGGAGCGGAATCGTGGATGCGTACTGCTGAGGAGTCCCATATTAGGATGAAACGGTCGTCCAGTGCTTCCAGATATTCCATGGTGGTCTACGTTCAATTGACTCATGATTTCAACCAGTGCAATTTCTAAAATCTCCACACAATCCCTTCTGATTGTGAATTTTGTTGAGTTCTGTAGTTTTTTTTACATTATAGATTAACTTTGATTAGAGAATCATTCTAGTTGTAGGACTGTATAGGAATACACCACATTAAGAGTTAACTCCAGAATCTTCTCGAGTCTTGTGTCAATCTTTTAACTTTATTAAATTCGTAATACTTCATGAGGAGCATTTGCTACTATTGATGATATTTGTCTGAGCTTCAATATGACTAAAGTTAACTGGTGACAGCTCCTTGCCAGAACCTAAGGTAGTCCCATGATGTAATACTACGAAATAGGTTATCTATTTATTTTTAATCATGATCCTTTAATAATAATAATAAAATCAGATGTTCATAAGATTGAGTATTTCATCACAAGTTAACATTATCTCAAAAAATCAAGTAGTTCTAACGATGTGTAGCTAGTGAATATTAGGTGCGGTTAGTCACTTAACATGGACAGTTAGACATCCAGCTTCTGAATATTTAATGTGTTATTTCCTTATTTCTTTATTTCAACACATAAATATTGATACAAGGGGACACCAAATACATATGTACCGCAGAAGATATTTGATTTATTTATCAGCTGTGATACTGTCTGAGTATCCAAACCGAAGCAGGTGGGTTTCTTAAGGGGGTCACAACCGGAGCCTTTGACCAAAAGATCTACTCCACAAGGCAGTGGAGCAACGTAAGGAGATACTTAAAAAAAAAAAGAAGATACATAATTATGTTAAGCGTTATATTGTGAATAATTCAGTGAGACTATAATTTATGAACGAACCAATCAGCTATAAGATAATAGGTCTTGGATTTTGGCGCGAAATTCATTTCTAATCCTTAACTATCAATTATAAATCATCATTTCAAATTACTCATACACTGGTTTTATAACTGTCATTTTGTTCTAGTTATTAGGTGAACACTCTGAATGTTAGTTTAGATTTGCCTGAAGGTTGCTCATAAATTCTAAGTCTTACCAATAATTCTATTCCGAAACAATTGTGAAATTGTAAAGTTACATAAATTCACTTGATGTTATTTTATTTCTATCTTCTTATTGTTATTTAGAACTGTAATTGATCAGTCTCATATTGGTATATGTGCATCCAGTGCGGATTATCTCGATATAGCCATAAGTCACAAGTCAATATGAGACTGATTGATTGTAGTCCTGAATAACAATAGGAAAATATTATTTATTTATTTTAACACATAGATATTGGTAAAAGGAGGCACCAAATACATATGCGCCACACACATCTCATTTGATATATGTGAGGGCTGTGATACTGCTCAGGTGCGCAGATCGAAGCAGGTGGTTTTCTTAAGAGGTCACACTCGGAGCCTTCGACCTGAAGATCTGATCCACAAGGCAGTGGAGCATCGTGAGGAGATACAATCCCATGGTAGCCGGTAACTAACGATTGGTTCATACGCCACTTGTTCCTTCAGGATAGTGGAGCCAGCCCATGTGCAGTATTGGTTTTGGATCCGGTTAAAGCGCCAGACATTCGCTTTTCGTCTTCTAAATTTCGTAAACAACACCCCGGTCACGAAAAGGCAGTAAGTAGGACTTCCCTGGCAGAGGCTATATACGCTTGACCATGTGAGAGCATTTGGAGAGGGAGAGCTGACTCTCCACACTCTCGGCCGTACCAGGGCATTTGGGAGCAATCGGAAGATATAAGTAATAAACAGCACCAAGTGAATTTAAACTTCACCCCAATTCACAAGCAAGTATCTATGAGGATTCAGTAGTTAATTAGATAACATAATAGCGTTTGTAAGCGAACAGTACTGAATTCGAGTTCCAGAATGAACACTAACTCTAAGATGCCAGATATATTCAACTGATGAGTTTCAAATAGGACGAAACTCAAGTCAAATTAGATTCCACTATTAGATACTATCTATGTTTACTTCAAAAGTGATATACATGTTCTCAATGATTTGTTAATTATTCTCTTTCCCTATCTCTCTCTTTCTATCTATCTATATATATGTGTGTGTGTATTTCTTCTTTTTATTTTAGCTTAATTTGGTTCTGTTTTATTTGTTGTACTATTGTACATTTATATTCAAATTATCGTGCTGTAAAATGTTTAAAATTACGAACATTTAATCGTACACGTTTTCATTTAGCTATACAACAATGGTTTAAACAACAATATTGTAATGATTCAATATTAAAGAATAACAATGATGATGATAATGATAATGATGATAATGATGGTATGAATAAAATACGTGAATATGTTTTAATGAATCAATCATTTCCACATGTTATATGGGTTAATCAATATGAACCTATTTTATCTAAAATTGATCAACCTAAAATTATCATGGGTTGTTCATTGTATAAATTACCTATTGAAGGGTAAGTCTTTATTATATATGTGATTATTGTTCTTTTGGTGAAACATAGTTAATGTAATGTTAGGAGTTGGATTCGAACCTATTCCCACAGAGTAGACTATGACCTGAATGCAACGCGTTGAACTGCTCAATCATCTTGACTACTCGAATAGTAGTTAGTAGAACATATTAATTGAAAGTTTTGTATTCGATCTTAACCTACTATAAAATAATGTTTACATAATTTAATTTCATCATTGAAACACTCCATATTTAGCTCGTAAATACCCTGGTACGGTCGAGAGTGGGAAGAGTTAGCTCTTTCTATCGAAATGCTCTCACATGGTCACGTGCATACAACCATTGTCAGGGAAGTCTTACTCATTGCCTTTTCGCGGTATTATTGTTGTTTACGAAATTGAGAGGACGAAAAGCGAATGTACGGTGCTTTAACCGGGTTCGTGAATATAGAGAATCTATCTTAATCAATGGTGCACATGGGCTTCAGAATCCTGAGAGAACAAATGGCGTATGAGCCAGTCGTTGGTCACCAGCTACCATGGGACTGCATCTCCTAACGTTGCTCCACTGCCTTGTGGATTAAACTTTTAGGTCGAAGGCTCGAGGAGTAACCCCCTAAGAAAACCACCTACTTCGATCTGAACACTCGGACATTATCCCAGCCCTGATACAAATCCACGTGCATACAACCACTACCAGGGAAGTCTAACTGCCATCTTGCACTGAGGGTGTTGTTCACGAAATTGAAAGACTAAAAAGCGAATGTCCGGCGCTTTAACCGGCTTGGTGAACACGGAGAGTCGATCTATGGGAGTTGGAAAACCCTGACTGCAAAACAGTGGTGTACATGGGCTCTACGATCAAATGGAGTATGAACCAATTATTGATCACCGACTACCATGTGACTTCATGCCCTGATGTTGCTCCACTGCCTTGTGGGCTAGACTTTTAGGTCGAAGGCTCTGGGCGTGATTTTTTAAGAAAACCACCTTCTTCGGGTTGGATATCCAGACAGTATCCAAGCCCTCATACAAATCGAATAATGTATTGAGTTTCAGTTTGGAAAGGACAGAAGGCTTGATGGCCTGTGTTAGTCCTGGCAATGGTGTTCTCTTAGTTGATCCAACTTTCTTTTGAAAAAATCAACGGATAGAGCTTCAACCACGTGCTGAGGTAATGAATTCCACTCGTTGATGATTCGATTGGAAAGTCGATAATCAGCTGACAAGTAATTTGTTCTGGGCTTGTGGCGCATATTTATTTGGTGCCTTCCTGTACCATTGTTTATATGTTTAAACCATAAATAAGCGATGTTTTTTTTATGAAATTATTCGTCTACTAATAGTAGTATGTAAATAAATCCACAATTTTTAAAAAAATTTTTAAAAATTTAATTAAATATAATATACTACTCATGTGTTTGTAAGTACTTTATACTGAATAGTAGCATTTTCCATTTGTGCATAACACATTTTAAACGTATTGTTTGTTTGTTTTTTATTACTTCATATATATCTCTATAGACAGAAATTGTTACCGAATTTAATACGATTATGTGAAAAAAACAATTACATTTTGTATTGTTCCAATTGGGAAGCTGTTCAACAAGGTTTGTATATCATTATTGGAGTTGTGGAGATTATTAAGTTCTTGATTGAGATCATGAATCGACTGATGTTAGACCACCGTTGGAAACCTGGAAGCACTGGATAGCCGTTTCGTTTTAGTATGGAACTCCTCAGCAGTGATAATTAACATGTGCTCACTAGTGACTAGCTTCGTGAGGGAATTCTCGGAGTTCTAGTGAGAAGCCGTGACTAGTGGAGCTAATCCGTGTCGCGTAGAGACAGGTACAGTACAGTGGAAGATGGTCGCGCAATTTCGTGGATTGGTCTATGTTAGACACTAACACCATTGAATGCCGGCTCAGTGGTCGAGTAGGTTAAGTGTTCGCGCGCGAAACTGAAGGCCCTGGGTTCGAGCCCCGCGAGGAGCGGGATCGTGGTTGCGCACTGATGAGGAGTCCCATGCTAGGAGGAAACGGCCGTCCAGTGCTTCCAAGTTTCCAACGGTGGTCTAACATCAGTCGATTCATGATCTCAATGAAGGTTTGTATATGTTTTTCTAATCACCTTTCTTATAGTTAGATAAGATGAAATGTATCATTGATAAACTGTTATTTTAATTTGTTTAGTGAAGTGATATTCTTTGAATTGGATAGTTTCATTATAAGGCTGTGATTTCTTTTTTCTTCTAGATAATATCATATCAGTAATCTACACAATCGGTCAGCTACAACGTAGGACCAGGCATATATATGCATCAGTCCATGTTGCCATACTGCATTAGCACCACAAGATGAACACCGGATTCATAGGAGTAGTTAAGTCAATGGTGTTAATATGTGAAAGAAAGATTACATATAAGGTATTAGTTGGTAGAAAGAAAGATATGAAGCGATTTTAATCTTATAGTTTAAGGCAAGACAAACAGTGTATACACCGACACCATTGTGATCGATTATAAGCCTTGTCACCCACAATCTCCAACTATTGGTTACGATAGTGATGCGGACCCCAACCAAGTAGTCTGCATCGAACAATATGGCTCAGATCAGATGTTAGTGACTTTATGGACTGATGCCACGTTTTGGTTTGGCCACCCCTAACTTTAATTGACACAATCAACTAATAACTTATTCTGTTGTCCTAAAATTTGATAATTGTCAGTTGTCTGATTATTTATTTCGATTGTCTTACCTTATGGTTTGACCTTTGACCTTGTTGTTGTTTATCTTTTCTTCTTATTGGTTTATTGATTGTTTCGATTCTGATATACATAATCAAGGTGCTCATTCTCAGTAATTATGACTTTTCCGATTGATCTAACATTGGAATCAATTACCTTTCATCTTATCGAGTAATGGTCTAAAATGTTGTTTTCAAATTTAACCATTTGCTGTCAGAAATACTTCAAAACATATTGATTATTGTTTAATTTCCATGAAAGGGTTCAGTTATAAAGATATGCATATGATTTACTTATAATTATTCATAAAACTTGTTAAGTGTATCATATTAGTCACATTTGATTGATCACAAGGTGGTGATCAATGACATGTGTATCAAGTCCTTATTAGTGTAGATCGAATGCTATCGACGATGTTGCAATGTGGCCACTAGTCTAGGTGACTCGACACTGCGTGTACTATGTTGAAATTAGATGGTGATGGTTGGAGGTAGGACTTGACACATATGACATTGATCACCACCCAGTGATCAATCAAATGTGATTACATCTCAGTCCTACAGGAGGTCGGTCGCGGCATAGATAGCTCAGTGGTAACGTCTCTGACTGTGAAGCTGATTGACACGGGGTTGAATCCGTCAGGGAGCACCAGTCCCCTCAAGATTACAGGTACACCTTGTTGACGAGTGCCAAGTAACACGAAACTCGGGTCCAGGGTTTCCTGTCGACTACGTCCAACCACCAGCTAGTATCATATTAGTATTTGTGAAGGTGATAACAGTGGTAATAAGATATATGAATCATTTTCAATGTGTTTTGATTTTAAGCAGTAACTATATTATCAGAAGGGGTTTTGTGGAGATTTTAGTAATTTTAATAGATGAAATCATGAGTAAATTGAAGCTAGATCACCATGGAAAACCTGGGAGCACTGGACGGCCCTTTCGACCTAGTATGGGACTCTTCAACAGTGATCATCCACGAGATTCGAACATAGGATTTATTAGTCTCGCACGCGAGTCCTTAATCTCTAGACCACTGAGCTGGTCGGCATCCAAAGGTGTCAATGTCTAACTTCAAGTAATCCACGGAATTAAGCGACACATCCACCATTGTCTTCAATGAGTTACTATCTCACAACAAACTTGGTTAAACTGCACTAATCACTACTTCTTAATAGAACTCCAGGAAATACCTCTTGATATTTTGATAAGGTAAATCTAAGTTATGGAAAATATAAAGAAAGACTAATATGTACCTGAGCTAAGTTAGATGAGCATCAATTTATTGGGTATGTAGTTGACTAGGGTAAGAGAAGAGGTCTCTAGGACGTCTGTCAGTATAAGTTGCTCCACAGTAGTTGAATTAACAAATACAAAATAACGTAAAAATTCTAGGTAGTTCATCTTTTAACCTTGATATCATCATCGGTGGCGAGAAAAATACTAGTCAGAGTTTTCTGGGGTTGAATATTCTCTAGATTGTTCTACGTACACTGTGGATCCGTTCATAGAGGACAGTGGACAAAGTCGTTCGAAGTAAAGACCGGTGTCAAGCAAGATTGCTTACCCTTTTTCTTTCTCCCGGTGATCGACTGGATCATGAAGACGTCAACATCTGAAGGGAAGCACGGGATACAGTAAACAGCTAGGATACAATTGGATGATCTAGACCTCGCATCATTAGTACTTAAGACATTCAACTTTTAATTATTCGATCATAGGTAGACATATTTCTCCATCCATTTGAATTTAGATAATCAATTAGGCTAGCAGTAGAATACAGGATGCATGTTTATATTCTATTTGGAACTTGTTAGCTAGATTTCAATCCCAGAATAAACATGAACAAGTCTAAGATGTAGGTACATCTAGTTGATGAGTCCAAAATAGGAAGAAATGCACATCAAACTGGATTCTACTGCTAGCTACTATCTATCATTACTTATAAAGCTTGTAACTTAAGGTTAGAATCGAGGCAATCTACACAGGATACACATATGCCAACATAAGACTGATCAATTGCAGTCCTAAATAACAATGGGAAGATACAAGTAATAAACAACACCAAGTGAATAAAACAATAAAATCAAATATTGTACGTTGACTTGATTTATTTATTTATTTTTTTAGGTAACTCAATTATCCCATTGACAATGTATATTGTTCTATTTTCTGAATCGAAACCTTTGGATCAGTTGAAAGCTATGCTACATGTAGAATTAATAACATTCATAGTAAAGGTTAGTGTGAGTCAATTATTTGTGATTATATAGTTACTTACTTACTTACTTACTTACTTACGCCTGTTACTCCCAATGGAGCATAGGCCGCCGACCAGCATTCTCCAACCCACTCTGTCCTGGGCCTTCTTTTCTAGTTACATCCAATTCTTGTTCATTTTTCTCATGTCTATCTCCATTTCCCGGCGTAATGTGTTCTTTGGTCTTCCTCTCCTCCTTCGACCTTTAGAATTCCATGTGAGGGCTTGTCTTGTGACGCAGTTGGGTGCTTTCCTCAATGTGTGTCCTATCCACTCCCAGCACTTCTTCCTGATTTCTTCCTCCACTGGGATCTGATTTGTTCTCTCCCACAGTAGGTTGTTGCTAATAGTGTCCGGCCAACGGATCCGAAGTATTTTGCGTAGACAACTGTTAATAAACACTTGTATCTTCTGGATGATGGCTTTTGTAGTTGTCCAGGTTTCCGCCTCATACAGTAGAACTGTCTTCACATTTGTATCGAAAATTCCGACCTTGGTAATGGTTGGTAGACAGTTGTTTTGAGTTCCAGATGTTCTTCAGTTGTAAATATACTGCTCTTGCTTTGCCAATCCGTGTCTTCACATCTGCATCAGATCCACCGTGTTCATCGATGATACTGCCCAAATATGTAAAGGTTTTTATATCTTCCAAAGCTTCTCCGTCAATTGTGATTGAATTGGTGCATGTTGTGTTGTATGGGAGAATCTTGCTTTTCCCTTTGTGTATATTGAGACCTATTGCTGCTGAGGCTGCAGCTACACTGGTTGTCTTCTCGTGCATTTGTTGTTGCATATGCGATAGAAGAGTCAGATCATCCAATTGTATCTTAGCTGTTTACTGTATCCCGTGCTTCCCTTCAGATGTTGACGTCTTCATGATCCAGTCGATCACCAGGAGGTAAAAAACGCTAACCAGATTATATAGTTAATACTAGAGATTTATCTTCGTTAGATAACCCACAATGAAAACCAGTAATCATTGGATAGTTGTTTTGTTATAGTATAAGATTCTTTATTAATGAGCATCCATGGCCTTATGAGTGGTTTTTTAGTCAAGAAGAACACCAATGGGGACAAACAAATGTGTTTGACAACAAATGACAGAACTAGTTAGTAAAATCTAACATCCATACGTGTAAATGCTCAATTTACAAAATGTCCATCAATTTTCTCAAAATGACTCAAACTTCCTTTGTTCTTGCATTTTCATATAAATTGCATGCTGTCTTCATTCTTTACTGTTCGGCCTTCTTGTTTCTCTGCTGCCAGACATTCTGTTCACGACTAACATGATATACTACTTATGTCTACATAAGTAGCACACACCACAATTTCATCTTATCATCCTAAGAAATAACTTCTTCAATTGAATACTGGTAGGTAGTCTATACTCCTATACTCCACGACAGGTAACAGGCGTAAGTAAGCAAGTAAGCAAAGTCTTGAATCTAAGTGAAGGCTTTAGAATAAGTAAACAATCAATGATTATATTTAGCCTCAAATTTATTTTTGTAATCATTTAACTTTGAAGGAACAATTCTTTCTCAATACCATACATTTAATCTTGTTAAATGTTTACCAATATGACTTGGATATATTGAAACCTCACTTACACCTAATAAGCTCAACTTAGGCTGAAGAAAAGTACAGTAATCATAATCAATATATAGTATATTAAAAATACCCCGACCGTTGTTGATACCTTGACGTGGTGGTCAAGCTTGCCTATTGTGATGAAGCAACAGAGCTATACTGGCTGGAACAACCGTTCCTCAAGGTCCTACCATACCAGACAGGTTGGTTGAAAAGCGGTAAGACTAAAAGCAACAAATCCAAGGTTCGAAGGCGAAGTCGTACTGCTGACTGTACAGAGGTGTGACAAAAGTAAGGTGTTTCCTTCAGACAACCAGCATAACAGCGATGCTTCCTTCCCAAAAGGAGGGGGGGTTAGAAAAGGTCGACCCTAAAAATGGACACCTCGCCTTATCCCACGGATATCCATCTTTGGCGGTAAGGTCTCAACAAGTACGGAGCTAACACAAAAACTACTCACAAAAAAGTCGTGTGTGACCGACCGACCGACCTCAAGTAGCTGTCTCTTGGTCACTGAGGTCACGCTCTCAGGCCACTATGATCACCTCTAATCGAATTTCCTTTTCAGGTACCTTCAGAAGAACCCTTCCACGGTATGGGCAATCGGGAAGTGATAACCACCCTCATACTACTAACAGCACTCAAGACCACTGATATTAAAAATACGTATAGTATTGTTTGTTCTAAATGAGACAGCTATTTTCTTGTATATAAAATATGCTTAATGGAATATGATTTTTGTCTACATTTCTATCAAGTTCAAACATGTTTTGAATGTTTACTTATGAATTGGTTATCTTATTGTTCTATTGGAAACTGTTTCATATTATATTATAATATCTTGGCTTATAACTTTTAGAATAAACTCAAGATACATGTTTTTTATATAAATGAAACACCATGTGATGTATTTATTGAAACACTTAAACATTAGTACAAGAAGGTACCAAATAGAGATATACGTCACACAAATCATTCCAGTTGTATAAAGGCTGGGATATTGCCCGATTACCCAAACCGAAACAGGTAGTTTTGATAGGTCAAACCCCGAGCCTTTGATACTTACAGGTTTAATCCATAAGGTAGTGGAACAACTTTAGAAGATACAGTTCCGTGGTACAGTTATGATGTGTGCTACTTATATGTAGACATAAGTAGTATATGACGTTAGTCGTGAACAGAATGTCTGGCAGCAGAGAGAGACAAGAAGATCGAACAGTAAACAGTGAAGACAGAGTGCGATTTGTATGAAAATGTAAGAACAAAGGAAGTCTGAATCATTTGAGAGAATTGATGGACATTTTGTAAATTGACCATTTACCATATGGTTGGTAGAATTTATTAACAGTTTCCGTAATTCGTTGTCGAATACATTCGATTGTCCCCATTGGTGTTCTTGTTCACTACAGAATCAGTCAGTGAGCAACAATGCGTTTAAATGCCATTTGTTCCCTCAGGATCATGTAGCCTATACCGATCATTAGTTTGGAATAAGATTTTTCTAACTCCCCTAGATGGATTCTCCGTACCCATCAACCTATGCTAATCGCCGTATATTCGTTCTCTCAATTTCGTAAATAACACTGCGACCACGAGAAGGCAGTGAGTAGGACTGCCCTAGTAGTGGATATATACGTGTGATCATGTAAGAGTATTTGGAGAAGGTGAGATGACTCTCCTTACACTCGGTTATACAAAGGCATTTGTTTTTACAAATCAATTTTTTACTATATACTAATTCAAACCAATAGACTTCTATTGGACTTGTTGTGTACTAAGTCTCGAACTAGGACATAACAAATTAATCGAATTTTTTGATTGAGATCATGAACCGATTGATGTTAGACCAATGGACGGCCATTTCGTACCACTTTGGGACTCCTCAGCAGTGCGCATTTATCATCCTGCTCGCGGGATTCGAACCCAGGGCCTTCAGTCTGGCGCGCGAACGCTTAACCTACTGGTGATCTAACATCAATTGGTTCATGATCTCAATCAAAAATTTTGAATAATCTCCACAACCCGTATACTGATAATTATCATATACTCACTAGTGACTGGCGTCGTGAGGGAATTCTCAGAGTTCTAGTAAAAAGCAGTGATCAGTAGAGTTATCTACCTCAGTAAAATGGAAGATGATTGCACAATTTCATGGATTGGTTGAAGTTAAACATTAAAATCATTAGATGCCGACTTAGTGATCCAGTAGGTTAAACATTCGTGCGCGAAACTGAAGGCCATGGATTCGAATCTCGCGAGCGGGTTCATGAATGCACACTGCCATTTTGGAATCTCACAATAGAACAAACCGGCTGTTCAGTGCTTTCAGGTTTTCAATAATAGTCTAACATCAACCGGTTCATGATCTCAATCAAAAGAACTTAATAATATGCACAATCCCTATTCTGATGAAAATTAATTCAAGTTAATTCGTGTCATCTATATGCTAGATGTGTGATTTTCTTTTTGATTAATTTTGTTGTTCTTGTTGTTGTTGTTGTTCTTGTTGCTATGTAGTATCCCTTTAAAACAATATTATCTCATAAAATATTGGAAGAAATCATTCAAGCAAAAAATTGTAAGTCATTTATGTATATGTATATATACTATGTGTTTTGCTTACTGTTAAACTTAGGTTAAAATAAGATATTTTTGTACTGAATACCATATTACCATAGCAACTAATATTTTGAATCTATATCATTATAGTTAAGTAAAACAAAAGACATTAATCTGTAAAAAATAGTTTATCATTGAAATATTGTAGCTGTAAAAATTGGCATAATCTATAATTGGTCAATTAGTGACCAGTGAATTATCGATCGGATCAATGATACAATAAAACACGTACGAGCAGTGTAAAGTCCTTATCGGTCCTGCTTCCTGCCTTAGCCCCTTACATGTTATGTCCAAAACATCAATCTCAGCCTCTGTGATATGAATCATTATATTTCAAACATACGGGGTTGATATACAAACCAAACAGACCACCTCACATCATAAATAGAAAACAACATTTATACAGCCAAATATGGCTGTGACTAAAGGAGATTGTAATGAATAAACAGGGCATAACTCAAGAATGGTAAATCGTAGAATAATCATCTAAGAGTTAACATAAAGCTTATAATAAGAGGAACATGAATTAGTTATTTAAATCAAGCAAGTGGCCAACAGGACTCAGTAGCTAAGTGGATAACGCGATGACATTTGAAGCGGACGCTACTGGGTTCGAGTCCCGGATGCAGGTACATCCAGCTGACGAGTCCCAAATAGGACGAAACTCGCGTCAAACTGGATTCCACTGTTAGCCACTATCCATCTTTGCCTATAAAAATTATATTTGTTAGTCAGAAGTTTTTAATTCATTAGCTCACAGTGAGTAAAGCGGACTACCAAAATTTATATCCCTCCTTAATATCTTGTTTATATAAATGATGTTTAATCATATACAGTTCGATCAATACCAGAAAGAACTTGACATGATATTGGTTACCATTCAGTAATCAGTTAATTGTAAATTAGTATGTTGATTTACTAGAGAAGAAAAACTTATTCTTAACGGTTAATTGATCATTGAGCTGAGCTGTAATCGATAATCATATATGTCAAATGTTTTTTAATGTTGATCGAATTTGCAATGTGACCACTAAGCTTGATGACTGGACATCGAGTGTTGGTTAGAGATAGTCGGCAGAATACTTTAGAGCTAGTGATACGGAATTAAATCATTCAAGGAGAATTGTCTCTCTTAAGATTACACTTACACCTCACTGACAAGTACTAAACAATACGAAGCCTATGTTCCTGTTGACTATCTTCAAGTATCATCTTATAACTTAATTTTGTGACTAATTGTCTTATCGTTTGATGTTACGAAATGGTTCACATTGTCACTTTAATCTCATCATCAGTTACAAAGAGTTTGGATTTCCAGTTGGTTAATAATGGGTTTAATGATCATAAAACTGAACAGTTGAGCCGATAAATATTCGCTTTATTAGACTGAAACAACTATATTCACCGATCACAATCTATCAGTTAGTCAATCAGCTATAACGTAGGTCCAAGCACATATATGCATCGGTTCAAAGAAGTACATTAACCTCATAACGGCTCTCTACTCGAACACAACTGGTCGAGTGAGAGCTTATGGCAAACTGTCATCAGAACTGACTACCTCAAATGGTGTTCATCAGGGCTGTCCACTCTCTCCATTCTTGTTTAAGTTTGTCGTTGACGTGCTTTTAGAAATAACACTTTCCACATCTGAGTTTCCAAGGGTTGAACTTCTACCGGGATATTCACTTTCTGACTTAGAATATGCCGATGACATAGTTCTATTTGGTGAAGACGCTGACAGAATGCAGAGTCTGCTGACCACTCTAAGCAACAATGCAAGCATGTTCGGCATGAGATTCTCTCCCTCGAAATGCAAAATATTGCTTCAGGATTGGGTTGCACCGACACCCGAACTAGTGATAAGGAGTGAAGTAGTTCAGCGTGTCGACCGCTTCACTTATCTTGTAAGTTTCATCAGCCGTTGTAGTCTGGTGTGTGACGAAATCTCAGCACGGATACAAAAGGCTCGACTAGCTTTTGCCAACTTGCGTCATTTATGATGTAGACGAGATATCCGTCTATCAACCAAAACAACGTGTTTACTGCGCAGCAGTTCGTTCCGTCCTACTTTATGGCAGTGAAAGATGGCCAGTAAGAGTAGAGGATATTCGTAGGTTACCAGTATTTGATCATAGGTGTCTTCGAAACATTGCTCGTATATCCTGGGACCACCGAGTAAGTAACTCAGTTGTTAGGAAACGGGTACTAGGTAAGGATGGCAAATCAATTGATGAAGTAGTGAAACTTCATCAGTTGTGATGGCTGAGACATGTGTTACGTATGCTCGATCACCAACTGCCCCAACGTGCGGTGTTTTATGGTGTAGGAGTAAGTTGGAACAAAACTAGGGGTGGCCAGACCAAAACATGGCACAAATCCATGAAGTCTCTGACAAGTGGACTGAGTCATGTTGGTAGGTGTAGACTATCTGGTTGGGATCCACGAGATGATGATAGCAACCGATGGTTAGATACGGTTAGATGCGAAGGTGTGCATCCAGTCTTTGCGTTCTCCCAAATTCCAATCTTCTGAATTCTTCATGTCGCTTTCTTTTTTTTTCTCTTTCCAAATTTATTTCACTGGATAACATCTTCAAACCCTAATATTTCCTATTACTACTTATACTTTCACTACTTCTACCACTACGGGATTTGAATCGATAACTGAATCTCTGTGCTAATGTGGTGGGTATGACAACTCGAACTGATGTATGTACGTACGAAGTTCCACATTGTTATTGACTGACTGACTGACTGACATCGGTTCAAGTTGTCACATCTTATTAGAACCACAAGATGAACATTGAATTCATAGAAATAGTCACTTCAATGATAGTAATGTTTAAAGCCAATATTTTATATGATACATCTAAGAAGAATGAATTCATAGAAAAAAAAATGTTATAAAGTAGTATTAATCTTATAGTTTAAAAGAAAACTAAGAGTGTATATACACCGACGCCAAGTCATATCACTTAAAGTCTTCAACCATTGATTATGATCGTCACATTGTATCTCAACCAAGTCGTTTGTATCTACCGATATGATTCAAACGAGAAGTTAGTAATTTCAATAATTGATAATTATATTTTCATTTGATAACTATTGTAGTGGCATTGGGCCCTACCACGAGACAATATAAGAAATAGACAATAAACATTTAACACAAAGGAATACAAAAGAATGGAGTAGGCGGAGAGTATAAATTGAATTAGTCTGAATTGATCGGATAGCATGACTCGGCCTTGCAGGCATGGTCCCTGCTGAATGTTATCTTGTATTTTCTATTCATATTAAATATATTGTTCCATCTCTAGCTTAAGCTTGTTCTCTATCACGTATTTGGTAATTGTTACAATGCAATGAATTGGTGTAGACAATGATGTAACTTCCACGTAAGATCTTATAGATTAGGCAGTTACATTATGATAAATCTCAAAATTTTAAGATTAGGTCTGCTATTAGAGCAGTGCTCATATCATAATAGACCATAATTCTACACTATAATATTAATATTGTCTAATTATTATTTAAATGAATTGTACCTTCATTATTTACCTATTTGTTATTATCTCTGTTGTTTTCTTTATCATTATAATAATAATAATAATAATAGATTATGAATTTTTACAATTAACTATAAATTATGTCAATGAATTATGGTATCCTTTATTGAATTCATTACAAACTAATCATGAATGGAATATAGATTCATTTCAATTTGCATCAGATATATGGAGATTAAAAAAATCGATATAAATAATCCTGTATATAGTTTGTAATGATGTCTATTATTGTTGTTATTGTTGTTGTTCTTGTTGTTGTTTCTTATTTGTAATAAATATTTTAATATGAATTTGATTTATGTTTATAATTAGGGTGATTGATACCTGTATAATTGCGTCACAAGATTGAATTGTACTATTCAGTATCTGGTTCCCTTGTGTAACGGAATTGAGCTTGAACTGTTTGGTTTATAACACTTAAGCCTAAGCGATGTCTGATTCTCGTGGAAACGTATGAGCAATGAGAAAAACTTGCCAAAATAATCATGATGAACCATCGTCAGTATGAATAGTGAACCTCCAGTCCGAAATGAGACCTTCAGCTCAACATAGCAATATAGCTTATACAGTATACCACACATATGTAGGGTAGTAAACGAAATAGCCCAGCCTGAAGCGTTAGGGCTTGAAGAACGCTTAAAACCCATTGTCTGCTGTCGGAATACTATTGCAACACCACCACCACCAACACCACCACCAAAATCATCACAGTTATTGGATTTGCGAGATTTTCATTTGTCCGACAATTCAGACCGAGAGTTAGGGGTAGTACCCCTATATAACATGGCGAGTAAGAGCAGGTGTAAATAGTCAAGTACAAATCTCAATATACGTATACATATTATACATCATTGAATAGCACTCAATTAGATAAGTAACACAAAGCACGCCCCATTCATAAATATTAATCCATTGAAAAGTTGTAGAAGAAAATGTGACCCGAAAATATGCTATAGAAAGTTCGCGCGTCAACATCCTATAGAAATGCCCGAGACAGCGATTTCCTCAACACACTTTTCACCAACACTTTTCAACGGCTCAACCGATTTCGCCGATCCATTTTGTGTGGGATTTCTCTTGCAAATATCTCTCTGACAACTTACAACACATTGTAAGATGTAGCCAATAAAATGCAAAATGTATCAATGAAATCGGTTAACCAGCAAACCATAGTTACGTATGAGCAATGAGAAAAACTTGCCAAAATAATCATGATGAACCATCGTCAGTATGAATAGTGAACCTCCAGTCCGAAATGAGACCTTCAGCTCAACATAGCAATATAGCTTATACAGTATACCACACATATGTAGGGTAGTAAACGAAATAGCCCAGCCTGAAGCGTTAGGGCTTGAAGAACGCTTAAAACCCATTGTCTGCTGTCGGAATACTATTGCAACACCACCACCACCACCAAAATCATCACAGTCATTGGATTTGCGAGATTTTCATTTGTCCGACAATTCAGACCGAGAGTTAGGGGTAGTACCCCTATATAACATGGCGAGTAAGAGCAGGTGTAAATAGTCAAGTACAAATCTCAATATACGTATACATATTATACATCATTGAATAGCACTCAATTAGATAAGTAACACAAAGCACGCCCCATTCATAAATATTAATCCATTGAAAAGTTGTAGAAGAAAATGTGACCCGAAAATATGCTATAGAAAGTTCGCGCGTCAACATCCTATAGAAATGCCCGAGACAGCGATTTCCTCAACACACTTTTCACCAACACTTTTCAACGGCTCAACCGATTTCGCCGATCCATTTTGTGTGGGATTTCTCTTGCAAATATCTCTCTGACAACTTACAACACATTGTAAGATGTAGCCAATAAAATGCAAAATGTATCAATGAAATCGGTTAACCAGCAAACCATAGTTACGTATGAGCAATGAGCAAAACTTGCCAAAATAATCATGATGAACCATCGTCAGTATGAATAGTGAACCTCCAGTCCGAAATGAGACCTTCAGCTCAACATAGCAATATAGCTTATACAGTATACCACACATATGTAGGGTAGTAAACGAAATAGCCCAGCCTGAAGCGTTAGGGCTTGAAGAACGCTTAAAACCCATTGTCTGCTGTCGGAATACTATTGCAACACCACCACCACCAACACCACCACCAAAATCATCACAGTCATTGGATTTGCGAGATTTTCATTTGTCCGACAATTCAGACCGAGAGTTAGGGGTAGTACCCCTATATAACATGGCGAGTAAGAGCAGGTGTAAATAGTCAAGTACAAATCTCAATATACGTATACATATTATACATCATTGAATAGCACTCAATTAGATAAGTAACACAAAGCACGCCCCATTCATAAATATTAATCCATTGAAAAGTTGTAGAAGAAAATGTGACCCGAAAATATGCTATAGAAAGTTCGCGCGTCAACATCCTATAGAAATGCCCGAGACAGCGATTTCCTCAACACACTTTTCACCAACACTTTTCAACGGCTCAACCGATTTCGCCGATCCATTTTGTGTGGGATTTCTCTTGCAAATATCTCTCTGACAACTTACAACACATTGTAAGATGTAGCCAATAAAATGCAAAATGTATCAATGAAATCGGTTAACCAGCAAACCATAGTTACGTATGAGCAATGAGCAAAACTTGCCAAAATAATCATGATGAACCATCGTCAGTATGAATAGTGAACCTCCAGTCCGAAATGAGACCTTCAGCTCAACATAGCAATATAGCTTATACAGTATACCACACATATGTAGGGTAGTAAACGAAATAGCCCAGCCTGAAGCGTTAGGGCTTGAAGAACGCTTAAAACCCATTGTCTGCTGTCGGAATACTATTGCAACACCACCACCACCACCAAAATCATCACAGTCATTGGATTTGCGAGATTTTCATTTGTCCGACAATTCAGACCGAGAGTTAGGGGTAGTACCCCTATATAACATGGCGAGTAAGAGCAGGTGTAAATAGTCAAGTACAAATCTCAATATACGTATACATATTATACATCATTGAATAGCACTCAATTAGATAAGTAACACAAAGCACGCCCCATTCATAAATATTAATCCATTGAAAAGTTGTAGAAGAAAATGTGACCCGAAAATATGCTATAGAAAGTTCGCGCGTCAACATCCTATAGAAATGCCCGAGACAGCGATTTCCTCAACACACTTTTCACCAACACTTTTCAACGGCTCAACCGATTTCGCCGATCCATTTTGTGTGGGATTTCTCTTGCAAATATCTCTCTGACAACTTACAACACATTGTAAGATGTAGCCAATAAAATGCAAAATGTATCAATGAAATCGGTTAACCAGCAAACCATAGTTACGTATGAGCAATGAGCAAAACTTGCCAAAATAATCATGATGAACCATCGTCAGTATGAATAGTGAACCTCCAGTCCGAAATGAGACCTTCAGCTCAACATAGCAATATAGCTTATACAGTATACCACACATATGTAGGGTAGTAAACGAAATAGCCCAGCCTGAAGCGTTAGGGCTTGAAGAACGCTTAAAACCCATTGTCTGCTGTCGGAATACTATTGCAACACCACCACCACCACACCACCACCAAAATCATCACAGTCATTGGATTTGCGAGATTTTCATTTGTCCGACAATTCAGACCGAGAGTTAGGGGTAGTACCCCTATATAACATGGCGAGTAAGAGCAGGTGTAAATAGTCAAGTACAAATCTCAATATACGTATACATATTATACATCATTGAATAGCACTCAATTAGATAAGTAACACAAAGCACGCCCCATTCATAAATATTAATCCATTGAAAAGTTGTAGAAGAAAATGTGACCCGAAAATATGCTATAGAAAGTTCGCGCGTCAACATCCTATAGAAATGCCCGAGACAGCGATTTCCTCAACACACTTTTCACCAACACTTTTCAACGGCTCAACCGATTTCGCCGATCCATTTTGTGTGGGATTTCTCTTGCAAATATCTCTCTGACAACTTACAACACATTGTAAGATGTAGCCAATAAAATGCAAAATGTATCAATGAAATCGGTTAACCAGCAAACCATAGTTACGTATGAGCAATGAGCAAAACTTGCCAAAATAATCATGATGAACCATCGTCAGTATGAATAGTGAACCTCCAGTCCGAAATGAGACCTTCAGCTCAACATAGCAATATAGCTTATACAGTATACCACACATATGTAGGGTAGTAAACGAAATAGCCCAGCCTGAAGCGTTAGGGCTTGAAGAACGCTTAAAACCCATTGTCTGCTGTCGGAATACTATTGCAACACCACCACCACACCACCACCAAAATCATCACAGTCATTGGATTTGCGAGATTTTCATTTGTCCGACAATTCAGACCGAGAGTTAGGGGTAGTACCCCTATATAACATGGCGAGTAAGAGCAGGTGTAAATAGTCAAGTACAAATCTCAATATACGTATACATATTATACATCATTGAATAGCACTCAATTAGATAAGTAACACAAAGCACGCCCCATTCATAAATAATAATCCATTGAAAAGTTGTAGAAGAAAATGTGACCCGAAAATATGCTATAGAAAGTTCGCGCGTCAACATCCTATAGAAATGCCCGAGACAGCGATTTCCTCAACACACTTTTCACCAACACTTTTCAACGGCTCAACCGATTTCGCCGATCCATTTTGTGTGGGATTTCTCTTGCAAATATCTCTCTGACAACTTACAACACATTGTAAGATGTAGCCAATAAAATGCAAAATGTATCAATGAAATCGGTTAACCAGCAAACCATAGTTACGTATGAGCAATGAGCAAAACTTGCCAAAATAATCATGATGAACCATCGTCAGTATGAATAGTGAACCTCCAGTCCGAAATGAGACCTTCAGCTCAACATAGCAATATAGCTTATACAGTATACCACACATATGTAGGGTAGTAAACGAAATAGCCCAGCCTGAAGCGTTAGGGCTTGAAGAACGCTTAAAACCCATTGTCTGCTGTCGGAATACTATTGCAACACCACCACCACCAACACCACCACCAAAATCATCACAGTTATTGGATTTGCGAGATTTTCATTTGTCCGACAATTCAGACCGAGAGTTAGGGGTAGTACCCCTATATAACATGGCGAGTAAGAGCAGGTGTAAATAGTCAAGTACAAATCTCAATATACGTATACATATTATACATCATTGAATAGCACTCAATTAGATAAGTAACACAAAGCACGCCCCATTCATAAATATTAATCCATTGAAAAGTTGTAGAAGAAAATGTGACCCGAAAATATGCTATAGA